ATACAGAAGAACAATCAACCCTGCCTCCAATGTCCTCTAGTCTTTTAGTCAGGTGTTTGTTTGGCTGGAGCAACCTACGTTTTTTATTTATTTATTTTGTTTTTTTTTAATTACTTAATTGCCTCTCAACAAGTACTATTGAATTCCAAAAATGGCATCCATCTGGTTTCTTGCATCTAAGGTAGATGTAATATAATTATGGTTAATTCATATTTTACTTATATATATATATATATATATTCTTTTCAAATCCTCAAATTTTTATTAAACACTGTATTAGTATTTTATGTTATTCAAAACTTATTAAAAAAAAGAAATCTTATCGATATAAAAATGTTAAACAATCGGAGATTGTTTGGGATATGATTTTTGAAGCACTCAAACTACTTGCTAGGCAAGACATAAGCTATTATAAATAGGTCATACTCCCATGGGTTGAGGCAAGTTGTTTTCTCTATGAATTTGTCTATTAAATATTGTTATAATATTGGAGGACTAACTTGGGCATCGCAGAATCTACGCCCGTTATCTTGTAGATGGCAATCAAGTGGAAGTTCCGATCATTTTATTTATTGGATTTCTTTATCAATAAATACGTGATTTTTTGTGTCCGTACATATACCCAAATTCATAACTCCAATACGACCTAAATTTGCCATTTTTTTTATTTTTATTTTTTAATTCATGGGAATGCCACAAATATTGGCCATATTTTTTGTGTAGTCCAAATTTTTAGTTTACTAATGAGTGTGATGGTGGATTTAGAGATTTCAATTTCAACTGTACCATAGCAGAGAAATATTTTTATTTATTTGTTTATCTTGCTTGCAACAATGGACCAAGATATCAACCTTTTTTTATATAAAAAAATAAAAATAAAAACACAACAACAGACCAAGATATCAACTTTTTTTATATAAATAAATAAACAAAAAAAATAAAAATAAAAACACAAACAGGGAAATCCATCCCAGTTTGGGCCTCTGATGTTATGGGCTGGATCAATGTTATGGGCCTCTGATTGCTGCAAGGCCCAGTTTTAACCCAAATACTAATCCGGCCAGGAAATCCATCCCCAATTTGTTATCCTATGTTCCATCCTTCATATGTCACATAAGTCACACGTTAGTTTTGGGATATAAGATTAGGGAATACGTAATAAGATTTGAAAGATTTTTTTTTGCCGTTAGATGGTGGAGAGAACATAGTTTTAAAGAGGAACTAGGTGTTCTACAAGTAGGTGGGATTTAATAATTTCCCATACAAGGAATTAGTAGTCTAGATCGCAATACAAATCCAGCCAGACAATTGGCAAATCAAGATGAATTTGAGACAAAATCTTACTTGTAGACTTCACATGTCCTATAGTCCAATTCAAATCTCTCTAATCCCTCAAAACAAACATGACGATAATATTCATATCTACTCTATTATATAAAGCCTACAAAATTGTTGATTTTGTCACTTTTTTGAAAATGTTCACGACAATTTGATAACAACCTATGTAGTAAAATTGATTAAGATATTTAAAAAGTATGCAAATGATTTCTATTCTGAAATTACGGAGTCTAAATATTCAGTACCTAGAAGGGAGTGAATAGACCAACTAATTAAAATTATTGATTTTAAGTTCAATTTTAGTTGACTAAACAGATTAAATCATAAATAAACAATTAACACATGAACACCAAATTTTACGTGGAAAAGCCAATAGAGTAAAAAACAACACTTCCAACACTAAAAAAAAATCCACTACGATCAAAGAATACAAAGAAAGTTGAGAGGGCTTACAACCTTTACCTAGGTTTACCTAACATGATATTTTGAAGTAACTCCTACAAGAACAGCATGAACCAGTTAACCTTCTTGCTTATTAGGATTCCATGAAGCTTCAACACCGGTCTCTGTTCACAAACGACTCCGATTACCCAATCGACAAAGAGCGTAGAACAAACGATACAAAAAAGTAAAGTATTTTATGGGTTTATAAAAGTCAAATCTCTATAGAGAAAAATATATTTTTTATGAAAACACAACTGCTGAGATCACCAGTTATTGAATCTTCCAAACTTGTGGCATGGGTCGACTAAGCATGTGCAATGACTGAAATGCCCTCACACAATTAAACTACCCTTAATCCTAATTTTGATCACCAAAAATAGCCAACAAAAAATGTCATGCCCCCAAATAATTTGAATAGAATAATGTCCAACAAGGCATATATATATATATAGCAAACAAGGGTTACTAAACTAGTCCCAATGGTTCTCCTGTCCATTGAACTATAAGTTAACAATTATAAAATACATGCTGAGTGTTCACAGTTCAAGAGGTTAGAAAACATCATAATAATTGCCTTATGGCTTACAATCTCAAAGGTTAAACCTTCATTAAATAGAAAGGACTATCGGTCCCAAAACAAAACAAAGCTCCAATCTATCATGTCACATGTTCAAATTGTGCTTGGCTTAACAAAAGGTTTATTCCACTTCTACTTCATTGGGGCAATTGTAGCTCGGCAAATACTGAAATTTTGTTAGATGGCAATGAGCAATTATCCAGCAGAGAATATATTAAACCAAGTATATAAACAATTGATTTAAATTATGCAATTTCCATATTTCTCTGTCCTTACACGGATGGCTAGTGGGCATCTCAAACCTTCCACATTTATCGTCTTTACACGGTCAGGCATGCAAACACCTCATTCATTTCCACATTTATCGTCCTCACACGATCGGGCAAGTGGGCACCTCAATTTCCCTATATTTGATGGGTAATACTACATTACACATCAAACAACTATCCAAAACTCTAAGTTTCTCTCAACAAAAAATGGCTCAACACATTTCCAATTCACCCATTAGTTTCCATCTATTTACCAACCAAGGCCCATGAACAATGATTAGGGTTTCACAAGAAATTGGGACTTTTCTTCTATTCTCTCATTTTCTAAGATTCATGGTGTACACATTGTTTTTCATTGAGTATTTACCAATTATTTTAGAATTTTTTAGGCAATAGCTCTCTATCACCATTAATGCCCATATACCCAAACACCCATCCCATATCATATCCCTATTATGAGATTTACACATAATCAAACCAAAACATAGATATATAAGGCTAAAGATATTCCTACCTCAAAGTTGTGTGAGTAGATATGGAGACCAACCAATGAACCCCCAATATATCACGATCCAATCGGTTCAAAATGTAACTTTCAACAAGATTAACACTTTTGATTAGGGAACAAGGATGGATTCTTGGTAAAAATAGGGGAAATTGAGTATTTTTAGTACTAGGGTTCAAAAATGGGCATTAAAGAGAGAAAGGGTCTGAAAAAATGAGATAAAAACGGGTTTAGATCGACTTTGAAATCTGCTATCTCGAATAGAGCGCTTGAGCGAACATTTCATCGCTCGAGCGACAAACACAATTTCAAACAAACCTCTTGAGAGAATTATCCACTGCTTGAACAATAAACGTAAGTTCTCAAAAGCTTTGCAATTCTATAGTGAAAATATTGGTAGCCTCCCCATATCTTCTTGAGCGACCACTATATCGCTCAAGCGGTCTCGCGCTATATCTAGTTTTGCAAGCGAGATACTGGAAGCCCTGAGAGCGGTCTCCCAGAACTAAGTGTTACACAAAATATTCTATTTCAATCTCTCCCTTTGGCATTTTTGTGACAAACTATTACAGCTCAATTTATGCAAATAATTTGACAAAAGGAAAATCCTATCACTCCTTGATACCCACAAATAAAGAATTCAAGGCAATCTTTTGTAAAGTAATCATCAAGTTCAACTTCATAGTCCTGAAACACATCAAAAACAAGAATACCTCCTGAAACACAATGTGATTGGAAAATAAAGTGACATAACACAAGCATGATTATGGGGAAAGATTGATAAAGATAGAATAAATATCTACTAATCAAAATAATAGTCTTTGCGGTACAATGGTAGATAACTAAAAACTATAACACAAGTATTAACCAACCACAATATATATATAGATATATATTTTTATCCATGAATATCAACTGCTCTATATCACTCCCAAAAACTCTATCTAAACAACTCTTTTTTTTTTTTTTTGCCACTAGAAGGCAAGGGAATAATCCTCTAGGCCATCAAAGATATCATGATGAGCATCATTATTAGGAGCTTCGAGATAGCGGAATCGTGCAAATTCACTAGCAAGAGAGTCAATCCTGGCCTCAAGAACATTAAGGAAAAACTCCATCATATCAAACGGGGTATCCATGCGAAGTTGCATACCTTGAAGATAGTCCACAACAAAATGGAAGATGGCAGGAGGAGTAGAAGTTCTAGCCTCGTTGAGGAGATCCATGCCACTACGGTGACGACAAGGTAAAGGGGTGGCAGTAGGAGGAGCGACTGGAGTAACAGGAGCAACTAGTGAAGTAGGAGGAAGAACATGAGAATCACTTCGTGAAATAATGTGGGTTGTGATATGACCTATCATCTCATGAAAGGGCTTGTCGGGAATATTAGGTGCCCGAAAGTGGATGGCGACCCCAGTGATGAGGGAGCCAAAAGGCATACCAACACTCCCATGAGCTTGACCAACATAAAGCTGGGTGATCCTCCAGTTGTAAAGTGGTAGGTCAATAGTAGCACCGGAGAGCATGGCATAGAACAACTATGCTCGAGGCACAAAAATATCAAATGGATGAGAAGTCTGCGCTATGGTGGCATTTTTTTTTTTTTGATCGGAAAAAAAATCTTTATTGATGAAAACATACAAGGTATGATAAGATACATCAATAAAGAGGAGCTTGGAGCTAACACGAAGCTCCAAGCGCCAGTTGGTGAGGAACTAACAAAAAGGAAAGCAAAAAGCCAGAGAAAAAGAGCACAAAAAATCAGATAGAAGCAGCTGAGGTAGAATCAGATAGAACCAACAAAACAGCACACAGACTTTCATCCCTTACAACCACCGAACACATTGACAATCAACCCATTCAGCCATCAGACAAGCATAACAGCACATAGCCCCATCAAGCGTCCAGCATGAACTCCTAACACAGTAGCAGCCAGACCAAACACAGCAGCAGACTCATAGATCAGTTGCAGGCCTATAGAAGAGCTGGATGCAGACTCACTACAACACCAGATCAATTGCAGCACCAGATGCAGACTCACTATAGCAGTTGCAGTCCACCAACAACACCCATCAGATTCATCCCACCAAAAAACAGCCCACAGAAACCATGATGAACATCTGCAAAAACATCTGCAAAAATAGTGGCCAACCAACAGTAGCAGAATACACCCATAGCAAAGCAGCATGCACCCACTGCCTAGGCACCAAAGCAGAACACCAAAACACCAACAACACAGAGCTTCAGCCTTAACAGCTGCAACCTTCTCAGGCCACCCCAAAACAGATTCAAGACAGCAATTATCAGCTGTAACAGATAACTACACACAGAGGCAGATTTGATTCAGGTTATAAATAACATCGTACACCGAATAATTAAACCCCTTCAAAGATGAGGCTACCCACAGAGCTACTCTAGCCTTTATTAGCTCTACCAAAGCATTCCACTCCGGTTGTACCTTATTAAATAAACACTCATTTCTACTTCTCCACATTGGCCACATAACTGCTACCGGAATTGTTTTCCAAACAGCTAGCATCTTCTTCTTCATTCTTATACCTGCCCACGACATAAGTAGTCCCTCCACTGTTCCAGGACTAACCCATTTGGAATTCCACCAGTTCACTAAATTGGCCCACAATTTCCAGATGAAGGGGCAGTGAAGAAAAACATTGTTAACAGTCTCCAACTCAGATCTGTAGAACACACAGAGCGCAGAGGTACTTGGACTCAACACTCCAATTCGTTGCAAAAATTCAGAACATTTAATCCTTCCTTTCCACGCTAACCAACTAAAGAATTGAACTTTGGGAGGGGCTAAATTGTTCCAAATGCACCTAGTGACTGTCAAATCTACCCCTTGCCTTGCTTCCACCCACATCCAAAGTGATGCCACAGTGAACCCTTCAGACGGATGAGCTAACCAAGAACAAGAATCTGCCACCCCTTCTTGGAGGCTAGGCGCATTCCGCAGAAAGTCATTAAGTTTTTGCACTTCCTCCTCTTCCCATGCTAGGAGGGGACGTCTGAAGACCAGATTCCAATCTGAATCTGACACCTTTCTATTGAAAAAATCAGCCAACTTCCCATCTTTTTCAACTGATAATGTGAATAATCTGGGAAAAAACACACTCAGATTTTGGTTGAGACACCACTTATCAATCCAAAATTGCAGTCTTCTGCCATTTCCAACAACTATCCTGAAATTTTGCAAGAAGAAATCACGCAAAACAGTGTTGACTACAGCCACTGATATTATATCCTTCCACGTATGCGACATCCACACTAAACTAATAAATAAGGGACACCATCCGCCTCCTAAACCTCCATACTTACTACATATCACTTGTTTCCACAAAGCTGTCTCCTCCTTGCCATACCTCCACCACCATTTTACTAGTAGGCACTCATTAACCTGGCTTAGGTTTCTCACCCCTAGCCCACCTTTAGTTTTACTTAGGCATATCTCTTTCCAGTTAATTAAGTGCACTTTCTTACGGATTTCAGCCCCTCCCCAAAGGAAGTTAGCTTGAATTTTGTGAAGTACTTTTGCAATACCCACTGGCAACTTGAATAGGGAAAGGAAATAAACTGGCAGGCTTGACAGAACGGATTTGATCAATGTTAATCTTCCGGCAAAAGAAAGATAGCTTCTCTTCCACGAAGCTAGCTTACTCTTAAACTTGTCTACCACAGGTTTCCAAGCAGCCTTTCTCCTTGGATTTGCTCCTAATGGTAGCCCCAAATAACTCATTGGCAACTTTTGACTTAGACAGTTTAGTTTTTTTGCCAAGACCTGGACAATATCATCCTGCACGCCTACCCCACACACCTTACTTTCGTGGAAATTTATTTTGAGTCCAGACATCAGCTCAAAGCACCTTAATATTCTTTTTACGGCTATAACTTCCTCCCACTCCGCTTCACAAAAAATAATGGTATCATCGGCAAACTGCAAGTGTGTAATTTTCAACTCAGTTGGACCTGCAGATACCCCTCTAATCAAGCCCACTTCCTTAGCTCTTTCCAAGAGAATGTTCAAACCCTCCGCTACAATATTAAAGAGGAAAGGAGAGAGTGGGTCACCTTGCCTAAGACCTTTCATGGGCGAGAACTCCGAAGTAGGTGAACCATTTACTAGCACTAAAATACGAGCTGTGGATAGGCAAGTCTTCATCCACCCCACCCATTTCTCTCCAAAACCGAAATTTTTCATCATCGAGTACAAGAACTCCCAATTTATAGAGTCATATGCCTTTTCAAAATCCAGCTTTATTATTAGGCCTTTCTTTTTTGACCTTTTCCACCAATCCACCACTTCATTGGCAATTAGAACCCCATCTATAATATGCCTTCCGCTCAAAAATGCAGTTTGAACTTCACTAATAACCTTGGGTAACACTTTCCTCAACCTTCTGGATAAGACTTTAGCTACAATTTCGTATGCAGAGCTAATCAAGCTGATTGGCCTATAGTCTCGAAACCCCACAGGGTTTTCCTTCTTAGGAATTAAGGTAATGAATGAACTATTTATTCCTTGAGCTAGCTTTCCATTAGAATGAAATTCATTCATCAATTGCACAAACTCTCCTTTCATGATGGCCCAACATTTCTGAATACATTTTAGATTAAAACCATCCGGTCCCGGCGCTTTATTCCCATCACAATCTTTGATTGCTTCCCAGATTTCTTCCTCCAAAAATTCTGCCTCTAATAACTCAGCTGAGTCAGTTGGACTGATTGAGTCAAAGACACCTACTAATTTTGGTCTATACTTCCAATCTTCAGTGAAAAGGTACTTGAAGTGACTTGCCACTGGCTGTTTTATCATCCCAGGCTCATCCTGAATCACACCATTCACATTAACTGAGTTTAACAAGTTTTTCCTCTGCCTTTTGGTTGCCATTAAATGGAAAAATCTGGTATTTTTGTCCCCATTTTCAGCCCAGACCCTTCTAGATTTTTTGGAGCCACAACCATTCCTTCTTCTTACTCAGATCCCAAACTAGTTTTCTTATTTCTACCCTTCTTTTGATCTCAGCTTCCTGTAGATTCCTTCCTTCAGCTAATAAATCCCACTCATGCAATTCCTCCTCTGCTTGTTTCAGCTTCTCATCAATGTTACCAAAAACTTCAGTATTCCACCTCTTCAGATGGACTTTCAGGTTGCCCAATTTTTTCAAAAGTCTGAAGCTAGCCTAACCACTAACCTGGTAACCTTCCCAACAGTTCTTCACTTCTGATTTGAATTTGGGATGCAAACACCACGCATTAATAAAACGAAATGGTTTTGGGCCCCAATCCCTCACATCCTCCATAAGGAGTACTGGACAGTGATCTGAGATATACCTAGGCAGTCCCCACTATTTAAACTTGAACTCTTCCAGCCACCTTGGATTGATTAAAAATCTATCAATTCAACTCCATCTATTTCCATCCATCGCATTAGACCAAGTGAACTGCCTGCCTAACATTTGTATATCTACTAGCTCCAATTTTTCAATAAATTCATTAAAATCCTTCATCCCTCTTTCTGTTCTTGTACACCCCTTCCTTTCCCCCATACTTCTAATCTCAATAAAGTCCTCACCACCTATACACCAAGGGCTTGGAAATGATGGATTCAGTGTTGCGAGGGACTTCCAAAGCTGCCTCCTTTTAAGCACATCACTGGGTGCATAAACATTAATAATAGTGCAATTAAACGTATGAAGGATGCTGCTGCTCTGAATATAGCTCCTTTCTTGAAGCATTTACCACTCATCACTCTTTTTTCCTTGCTCTGTTTATTGTGCGGTTTTGCCCTATTTTGCCGATTACCACCATCCTTATAACATCTATTTACCACTGCTTGAGTGGGCTTTCCTTGCCTTGCTGGGTTGTCTTTAACTGTTACTCTGAATTTGGCTTATTGTTGAACAAGGGTCCTCAGTTGGGTTTGGGCTACACATGCACTTAAGTTTGAAGACTCAGTGGTGGGCCTATTCTCCTGTACCCCATCCTGAAGCCCATCCAGCACCACCTCTAAGTTTAGTTGAGGCCTTAAACTCTCTGGCCCACTTAGGCTTCTGATAAACCCAGGAGCACATGCAAGATTTTCCACAATTTGAATTTCATTTCTTGGGTCTGCCGTAGGCACCAACCTGTCCTCCATACCAGCTCCTCTGACTTTTTGATTTCCCATGTCATCCTCTGTTTCTTTTACAGCTGATACAGATAGGCACTCATTACCTTCATCTTTTTCCCCTGCTTCGCAGTCCACCATATCCTGTTCGGCAACAGCTCTCTCATCGTTTCTGTTTAGCTCCTCCTTCCTTGTGTGTTCATCTTCATGTTCCCTCTTGTCTGGCTCACCATTTTTTGACATTTGATCAACTTCATCTTGACCCATCGAACCAGTGACCCCATTTTCCATACAGGAACTGTTGCAGTAACACGGCTTTCCTACTGCTGGGATCTCTTCACACACTCTGACTGGGAACAGGCTTCCATTACATTCAACCTGGATCACCGTGTTAATGAACTCCATTCTGGAAGTAATTACTCGTACCTTCCCTCATTGAAAGGAATTTGGAGTAGTAATATCATCATCAAATTGGACAACTTCACCCCACAGGTTTCCAATGTCTCTGAATGTATTAACACTCCACAAATTAAATGGGACACCCATACATATGAGCCACACACACCTTTCCTGTTCAACATACTTGCCATTTTCCCAATCTGTAATTGAGTCACACCATTCTAACATCCACTCTTCTAGCTTGGATCTGACCTCCCTTTTGTGTTGCTGGGATTTGAAAGTTAGCACTGCTAACCTTCCTCCTCCTTCTCTAACTCTTACTTCCTCCATACCTCTTTTCCCGACCTCCTTCTTAAACTCGTCAAAGGCAAGAAATGATTTCAACTTTACAATTACACTGTCATAGAGCCACCCATTTCCGAATTCAAATGCCTTTACAACCATCTTCATCTTCTCAATACTGCCACCATTCTAGGCTACTTCTGCAAAAGATCTTCGACCTATGCCATCCATCATTCTATGTCCGAAACTCCTCTGTGGACGCTGCATCATCGGATCATCTCCCCTGTTTGTCATTGCATGCTGCTTGGCCTCTCCTTTTTTGAACTCTGCTTTCTTTACTTTCAGGGCCTTATTATTGCCTGAATGTATTAACACTCCACAAATTAAATGGGACACCCACACATATGAGCCACACACACCTTTCCTGTTCAACATACTTGCCATTTTCCCAATCTGTAATAGAGTCACACCATTCTAACATCCACTCTTCTAGCTTGGATCTGGCCTCCCTTTTGTGTTGCTGGGATTTGAAAGTTAGCACTGCTAACCTTCCTCCTCCTTCTCTAACTCTTACTTCCTCCATACCTCTTTTCCTGACCTCCTTCTTAAACTCTTCAAAGGCAAGAAATGATTTCAACTTTACAATTACACTGTCATAGAGCCACCCATTTCCGAATTCAAATGCCTTTACAACCATCTTCATCTTCTCAATACTGCCACCATTCTAGGCTACTTCTGCAAAAGATCTTCGACCTATGCCATCCATCATTCTATGTCCGAAACTCCTCTGTGGACGCTGCATCATCGGATCATCTCCCCTGTTTGTCATTGCATGCTGCTTGACCTCTCCTTTTTTGAACTCTGCTTTCTTTACTTTCAGGGCCTTATTATTGCACCATAATCCATTAGCCTTCAGCACCGCCATTTCAGCAGCCACCTTACAATCATACCGCACAAACCCAAACCTCGACCCTGTCACTTTTCGTCTTTTGGATGGGATGAAGGCATCCTTAACTACACCAAACTTATTAAACAGAGCAAACAAACACTTTGGAGTCATTGAGTTTGGGATCTCATCCACGAAGATAGTAACCACGCCATAATCCACTGATCTACCATTTTGATTTGCAACTCGTCTTCTTCTTAGCACCGGATTCCAGCCTCCAGCCTCCATCTATCTTCTTTTTGGTGGATAATACTCTGTTAAAAAGTCTGCGCTATGGTGGCATTAACAACACGATTCAGGACACATGCATTTAAAGTGAGATGCTCCTGCTGTAGTGAAAAATCAAAAGCATGGACCTCGCCCGTAAGAAATGAGTGTAGCTTGGAGACAGGTGGAGCCATGTCTCCATAAGGAAAATCTGGGTTGGCAAGCCAAGGATTGCCCAGGAATGTGGAGATAAAGTTGGTGGAGAACTCAAATGTGACACATATACATAGGAAAAGCATGTGCCTCTAAGTTAACAATAGTGTAATGGGCATAAAAGTCTCTCACAATGGCCTCGCTCGTGGGAATAGATTCGGTCAAAATACCGTTCCATCCGCCGGTTAATAAAATCTCGGGCAAGGAAGTGATGTTGATAGTGTGCATCTTAACATTATGTTCTTGAAGAACGACTTTGCTGCGATAGGTGCCACTAAAGCAACGATAGGCAGTGGCGTCACGAAAGACAAGAAAGTTGGGATCTGCTGGGTATTTCCATCTAAAGGCCATGGATACAGTTAGGGCTAGCAAAAAACTCAACATGATTCATGATATGGAGATGCAGTGAATATGTTATGGAGTGTATGAGTGAGAGTGGCACTATTAGAATCACGGTCAAGTAATCTACGGTGCTGACTAAAATATGCAGGAGCGATCGATCGCACTGAGTGAGAGATCGATCGTTTTTATGATGCAATAATGCATGGTCAATTGTGAAACTTGTGAATTACGAAAGTTATCAATCGTAATTAGATACACGATCGATCACTGTAGACACCCCATTTTGACAAGTCCTAAGACTTGGGTGCTCTGTCTCGAACACTCGAGGAAAAAAGTTGGAATATGCTATCTTTCAAATTCCTCACCAGGAGAGCCAGGTTCGAACTTTAATCACAACCTTACACTCGTTTGGCGAAAACATTTTAGACCTTTTTAAAATCTTTTTTCAAAATTTTTTTTTGGTGTAGATTTAAACATTTTCACAAAGTTCGAGGCTCACATTTTAAAAATTCAAGTGTTGTATTTTCTTAGAAAATTGGGCAAGAACAAAGTAGAAATGAGTAGAAGGAATGAGAATTTTCTGAAAAAAAAACCTTATTTTCCCTCTTTGAAAAACACTGTCTGGCCAATCACTTTTTGAATGGCCGGATGATTTTTCCGGGTAACAGTAGTTTTGGAAAATTCAGCATTTTCTCCGAATTTTGTACAAATATCTTAGATATTTTGACTCTAAGCTTCCTCTACAAATATCTCAAATATTTTCTTTCCCTCAAAAGTCTATAAATATCACCTACCCTTCTTCATTTCAAAAGGTTAAAAAAATTCCTTGTTTACACCCATACCTCATCTTCAACCTTCTCCTTCATTTTCTTCACTCTTCTTCACTGATACACCACTCAAAACACCATTAAAGCTAAAATCAAGGTTGGGAAATAATGCTAAAAGGTTACACAATATTTCAAAAGGCTAAAAGACTTGTTCAAGAGCTCACCTCCTACACTTCATCTTCAACCTCCATTTTTCATACACCAACCATCAAAACTCCATTAAAGCTTGACTCCAAGCTTCTTGCTAAGGATTTGAAGAGCTCTAAGCCATATCTAAAGGACCTTAAGGGTTCCAAGAAAGAGTTTGACAACCAAGAAGTTCACCATCTTTCAAGAAGTGAAGCTTTTGAACATTTTCTCATATTTTATCTCTTATTGTTCATCTTTAAGCAATGTTTTTATTATGTAACTGTTGTAATGAGGTAACAAGTCCTCATGGATATGGAGGGGGCAGATTTAGCCACCCATCAATTGAGTTGATAGCTTTTCCTTTATCTTCTTGCTTTTCTTAGCTCTAACTTCTAGTTCTTATGTATTTTGGTTGTGGATCGTATTGAGAGTAGTTATTAGCCATCCATTCACAAGTTTAATAAGTAAAGTAGCTTTTCTTATTGTTACGCTCCTCTTCTTCATCTATCCTATCTCTCAAGTGCATCAATCCATGTGTTCTAACTCTTTGCTCAATATCAATGGGTGCTAAGGGTTGTTTCATAGGATTGCTTGAGTGATCCATGAGATTTGGTGTTGAGAAAGTTGTGTCCCTACCTGTCATTAAGTATTTTGGAAGTAAAACCAGAGATTCCATGTCAAGAATGTTGAAATCTCTCTTCTCAATCATTTGTGAATATCGGGTGAAAACATCCTTGCTCCATGAATTGAAGAAGAGTACTCAATAGTTTTTGATGAATCCCTTTCTTTAAAAGAAAAACTTCCACTAAGAAATGATATGCATTAATTTACAATCTCCACTTCATAGCATGGATTTTGGTATTGATTTGTCCTTGTTCACAAAGAGAAAATGCAGGTTCTTACTCATTTCTTGGGCTTGAATTTGTTCTTGCTTTTAATTCATTTAATTGTTGATTTGTTGTGAAATATCTATTGTATATATTTGTTTATATCATTGTTGAGGGTTAAGGCCCATTTGTCTCTTCCTTAAGTGATCTCTGCAAGTAGAGGAGGAAAAATGGATGAGCACCCCTCAGAAAGGGACTTGTGGCTTATGTTTTGGAAATTTTGCACTGACCTAAATCTCAGCCAGAAGATGAATTCGGCCAGCCGTCTCTCTGTTTGGCTGGCCCACTGTTATGTATATCCGAAAAACTTCTCCAAGAACAGAGCAGACAGCTTCTGGGGTGGTCTCCTGGGTGGTTTTGGAGTTGCTGAATGATTTATTTTAATTATTTAGCATAATTTGTTAGATTCAACAGTAATTAGGCTTAATCAATTCACTGTTGTAATAACATCTCCAACCCCACTTCTTTTCTTTATTTTATTACTTCATTCAATTATTGTAATAATCTCTCTCTCTCTCTCTCTCTCTCTCTCTCTCTTGTCTCCTTTGTTATTCGAATTGTTGTAATAATCTTCCAACCCTACGTATTTCTAACCCTTTTATTTATGCACTTTTTGTATAGTATCATGTTTCATGTATCATCTCCATGTTTTGCATCCATCTTTCATGCATTGAGAATAGGCTAATTTGCATATATGGGTTTCATCAATTCTTACGTGCCTTTGTGCGCTAATTCGTGCATTGAAATGATTTACATATCATGTACTTAGCATCCGAATCTATAGTTTCATTCTTGTGTATGTATTGCATTAGCTATTTGTATATAGGATCATGCATATGTATATAGCATATTATTTTTTGGCTTGTAACGGAGGAGTACTAGGTGAGCATTTACAGCTTTAGCATCCTGACTGTATATGTTATTTTACTATGCATAGCATCCTACTACATGGCTAAGTGCTTAAATGATATACCTCCTTGAATGCTAGTGGATGAAGGTTGTATTGCTTAGATTGTAATGATGTTGATTGATATGCATGTGAGCTCAATTTTCTTTGAGTTCTACATTTATTCAGAAAAAAAGAAAAGAAAAGAAACAACCTTTCAAAATGTTTAAAATCCTAATATACCAATATAAGTGACCTAATTTATAAATTGCTTGACTAACATACTA